AGCATGGTGGTGGCAGCTTCATGCTGTGGGGCCATTTTTTTCCAATGAAATTAATTGGGGAAAATTGTCAGAGTTTTAAAAAAAGAAAACAGAAAATTTATTTCATAAAATTGAGAGTGTGACAGAGGTTCACCTTCCAGATGGACAGTGACTCTAAGCCATGTGCCACATTTGGCCCGCCACTACATTTTATATGGCCTCAAAGATGGATCGATGTATTAAAATGGGCTGCTTTAAAGCCAGCATTAACCATAAACCCCATCTCCCATAATCCACGTTGACTACTTTACCTGCAAAATGACGGCATCCCACCACTAGGTGGAACTGCACAGGGTTCAACAGTAGTCGCAAAAATGCAGTGAAATGGAGATTTTACAAAGCAAGTTTCACCAGCTACTCATCAGTGAGTAAAACTCTTACTTTTAAAAGTATTTCTGTTTTATTTATTTCACATTTAGTCAGTTGTACATGTAGTACTTTTCAATGTTTATAAGAGGGCGTGTTAAAACACTGTTCCTATGCAGGAAATACCAGGTAGAGCTCAGTTACTGTTTGTTGGCAGTGCTCAGTTGTAGCAATAAGATGAGGAACACGAGGTTTTGTGTTTTTAGTTTAAGTTAAATGGGAAACATCAAAGTTAATAACAACTGGCCCTTTGAGGACCACCATAATCATGTGGCTCTCGGTGAAAATGAGTTTGACACCCCTGATCTAAACAAACTGATGCAACACTCCAGATGTTTAAAAGAGGAACAATTAAATGTCCTGGAAAGACCCAGTCAAAACCCGGACTGTAATTCAACTGAGTTTTTAGCATAATTTACAGAATACTGTATACAAGCAGCATATAATGAAGGAGCTGTAGCAGTGTTTTCAGGAAGAATGGGTGTTTTCTGGGGTTAGATGTACCAAGCTGGTGGAGGTGAACCTGAAGAGACTGACTGGTCTAGCTGTACAGGCAGCTCTACAAAGTATTGACTTTGGGAAATGAATAGTGGTAGTTGTGCTAAATTAAGATGAAATATTTATTAAATAATGACTACAACCATCACAGCTACCAATAATAATGTAAATTAAGTTCCTTGTAAATCACAGGCTGTAAGGCAACAAAATTGAGAATTAAAAGGGGGGTGAATATTTTTGCAACCAAACAAAGGCAGTACTGACAGTGCTAGAACCTGAAAAGCTGCATCATCATTATAAAAGCGCAACTTCTGCATGTAATAACAAAACAATGACTTTTAATAACTAATTTAAAGGTCTATATAACCAAAAGCATATCAGAGTAAATAGTTGTAATAAAACATGATTTGTTTGGCTGAAATTTACCAGCACCGTTCATAAGTTACCGTCACAGTACAGTACAGTACTAAAGGTACTACATTAGAATACCTACATGCATTTGCAGGAATGGACATAGTGGTATATTTGACTTTCAGTATTTGAAGCCACCGTCACCAGACGTGTGATGCATAGCTCCCAGGTCGAGTATCTGACTGTGGTGTTTAAAAATCACCGTCAGCACATTATTATATGTCATTTACAATAAAAGTCCAACAAAAATGCTTAAATGAGATTAACTCACACCATCCTGGTTATTACTGTTTGTTGATGTTTTTAGATGATTGATCAGTACTACAAAATAAGCTGTCTCAATTTTTTATTGTAATTTATCGCCTAATGATTGAATTTTTTTCTATACTCCTATTTGCATTATGTTAACATACTGATTATTTGAAACTACCTCAAATGTGTCTAGCAGAATGTCAATGTATCTTTAATTAAAATGAACTTACTCTTTAAAACATCAGTCTATTATTTTTGTAAATGCTAATTGTAGTATTTGCCGTTGTGCCATTTATTGATGTTAAGTATGCAGCTCATTGAATTCCTGACAACTGACATTTTCTGTCTGGAATCTTCTTGTTTAGAAGCATTAAAAGGATATTTTGGTCATTGTGAAGTGGGGATATAAGTATGATGTAGGCAGCTTTTGGACCTCCGTTTGGAGAAATAAAGTTTTGGCTCAACAGGATTGAGGAGCTAAGTGCAAACACAGATAGGACCAAAGTGGATTGATGCTGTCCTAAGGCAAATCTCTAAAAATCTCACAACAGTTCAAACAAATGACACTTTACAACGTTTACAGTGCTGTTTGTTTTGTAGTGCAGAGTTATTTAAATAAATCTACAATTATTTTGGCAGCAGCAGTTAGCTGTAGCACTCACGGTGTGGGGGAGTGGCAGAAATGTATTTTTTCATAAATAACTACATGTTTTACAAGTGACCATGATGTAAAGCACACCTATTAAACTCAAGGCGCACGGGCCAAATGTGGCCCGACATAGCATTTTGTGGCCTGTGAGAGCTTCAAAGACGTATTAATGTCTTAAAATTCTAAAATTATGCTGCAATAAAGCCAGGATTGACCATGAACTACATCCCCCCTAATATGTTGATGAATTTACTTGCTAAACATCGACATCCCACCACTAGGCGGAGGTGCACAGGGTTCAAAAATAGCCAGCAGAAAATGCAATGAAATAGAAACTTTACAAAGTGATTTTCACCAGCTACTTTTGCTGTGGCACTGTTGTACTGAGAAGTGGGAATTTCCCATTTACAAGCTATAAATTTAAACTGGCATGCCCCTCCAGTGGGAATTCCCTGTTGGAAAGTGGGAGAGTTCAGAATTCAAGATGGTAGCTACTCACTACAGCTCAATAGTGAGTAAAAGTCTCTTAATTTTACTTTAAAAGTATTTCTGTATTTTTTTCACATTTAGTCAGTCGTACACGTAGTATTTTTCAGTGTTTATAAGAGGATGTGTTAAAACACTGTTTATATGCAGGAAAGACCAGGTAGAGCTCAGTTATTGTTTGTTAGCAGTGCTCAGCTGTAGCAATGAGACGAGGAACATGGTGTTTTGTTGAAGTTAACCATAAAACGTGAAAG